TCACAAGTAAAAATAACTTTTTTAAACAAAGAAGAAAAATTTCAAAACATGCATTAAAATTCAGTCACCTTTCAGCAGGATTTACAAATATACTCCTTTAATGCTCTTATTCCTGAATTTGGGATGTTGTTATGAACAACTTGTTACTTTGCGATTAATATCATTGCATCATTTCCTAGCATTTCTATCTGAATGCACAGACACCCAAGCTCCTTGCAGGCAAAGGAATGTATTTGTTGGCTGAATGACCAAAAGCAATGACACAATTTACAGCTATGAACTATGGATCCTAAGTCGTGTTGTGTAAGAGTACCCTGGAGGACTTTTGAAGAGATTCCTGAATCCTACCTCAGATTCTTGGAATTAGAATCTCTGAGGCTTAGAAACCTCTGTTTACAGAACAATCTACAGGTGTGTGATGCATAGACAGATTAAAAAGACTAGATCTGTGGATTTAGAACTCTGTTCTGAAGAGTCTTAAAATACTCAAGAAACACCTATTTCAACCAGAACAATCCCATTTTTATCTATTTTATATATCTGTTCTGTTTCTTAAGAACCTGAAAACAACAGGGCAAAGTGAACCTATCAGATAGGGCAAAGTGAACCCATCCACATAAGACTTAAACTTGTGATTCTGGCATCATAACTGTCCTAATTCAAAGGTAGATCAGACTAGACAAATAAAAAGACCAGGACTGGTGGACACAGAATATTTGTTAATGACAAAAGAAAAATTTTAAGAAAGCAGTTCCATGATTCATACACTTTTATTTATTGCAACTTAAAAGAACTATTCAATACATGACTGAAGCTCATAAGTGGAAAAAACTTACATATATATATATATATATATTTATATACATCTATATATGGGGGGCAGAGACAGCAGTAGTAGATCTGGGAAGGTGTTCTCCAGAAAGTGATCCCCCTAGGAGAAAGATGATCAGCATGAACACCTGGGTACTGCTTCTCCCTAACACAAGGTCTGGATCCTTTAAACACCTTTCAGGTGCTTCCTCTAATCTTTTCTAACCTAGAAAACCATGTCACGTGTTGTGGAGAAAGGCAAGGAAGGATGCTGGCCTCCTCAGATAGTCCCCTGAAGGACCGGGTCCATATATTCTGACCTTTTGAAATTCTCCATTTCAACCACCCTACCTAATATTCCCACTGGAAATTAGATCTGAGACAGCCAACCTGATGTAGGTAGACATGATCTCAATAGGCTATTTTATCAAATAAATAAGCACACATTTTACTTACCTGTCTGAATACACAAGCTAAGCAGGAGATGAACTGAATAAGAAGCCAGGAGAGCGACTATCAGCAGCAAGAAACTAAAACATAAAAGAGTACATGGTCAAATGTGTCCCCTAAAAGTTTCCTTTTTATGGTATTTCATTCAAAAAACATTTTTTTCCCACATTCAAATGGTCAAGTGCATGCGTGCTAAGTCGCTTCAGTCATGTTTGATTCTTTGCAACCCTATGGACTGTAGCCCTCTAGGCTCCTCTGTCTTCTTTCCAACTTAAGAGAAGTAAGTTTCAGAGCGAAGTAAGCCAGAAAGATAAAGACCATTACAGTATACTAACACATATATATGGACTTTAGAAAGATGGTAATGATAACCCTACATGCAAAACAGAAAAAGAGACTCAGATGTATAGAACGGACTTTTGGACTCTGTGGGAGAAGGCAAGGGTGGGATGTTTCGAAAGAACAGCATCAAAACATGTGTATTATCTAGGGTGAAACAGATCACCAGCCCGGGTTGGATGCATGAGACAAGTGCTCGGGCCTGGTGCACTGGGAAGACCCAGAGGGAGCGGGTAGAGAGGGAGGTGGGAGGGGGGATCGGGATGGGGAATACATGTAAATCCATGGCTAATAAAAAAAAAAAAAAAAAGAGAAGTAAGTTTCAGTTGTGAAATCCCATTATCTTTTTTCTTTCCTCAATCCCTCCCCTTTTAATGATGCGTTGCTGCTGTTTAGTCATTTAAGTCGTGTCCAACTCTTGCAACCCCATGGACTGTAGCCTCCAGGCTCCTCTGTCCATGAGATTCTCCAGGCAAGAATACTGGAGTGGATCACCATTCCCTCTTCCAGGGGATCTTCCTGACCCAGGGATCTCCTGCATTGGCAGGTGGGTTCTTTACTGCTGAGCCACCTGGGGGCCCCCAGTGATGAGTACCTCCCTATAATTTTGAATAAACACTGCATTTCAGCATCTATTAAACATACTCAACAAACCAATCCAAAAAAATAGTTAACATACTTTTAATGACGTGATTTGAAAAATGTGTAATGTAATCATTGGGGTCCTCTCACCAAAAGAATGAAAAGAAACAGCATACATAACCCCTTATTCTCAGGAAGATACTGGCAAGACAAGTTTCCAGAGGAGTGCTCCTGAAGTTGAAGAAATTCTACCTTTGCAGTCAACTTAATACTTGTTAATAAGTAGCAAAATGGAGAGGTGAAAGTACACTTGTCAACTGATGTCAGAGACCTCACAACATAAGGTTGGCATCACCAGATGGAAACTGAGATATGATTCAGCAAGCACCCATTCAGTGGTATATATCTGTATGTGAGATCCTGCAGTAAAAAATGTGATTTTTCAAATGGAACTAAGAAATAAGTCCTATGATTATGTCTTGCCTGAGGTGTCATACATAGCTTTTAAGTTTTAAAACTATGAAAGTTTGCAAATACATCCCATAATGAAAGCAAGTTGGGTTACTTAGAAGTTGGTTAGCTAACCAAAAAATTCAAAGTAAAAGCAAAAATGAACCTACATGACCTAGGTATTTTAAATTTCCTAGAAAAAACAGGTCTGCTTGTACTGACAAAACAAACATGTTCATTCATTCTATTAAGCATGATGCTCCATGCTAAGGATAAGATCTAGCCCTGAAGGATTTCAGAGTTCAGTGGGGAAAATAACTTGCAAACAAATAATTACATTATAATAAAAGAATGAATATAAAAGTACTATGGAAACACAGAAAAGACAGCAATGTCTTCTGTCTTGGCAAACTGGCCTATGAGCTGAGTCTTAAAAAGATGTAAGGGAATAAACACAGGATACATGTATAGCCTCAGAAAGTGAAACAAGACTACTTAACAGGAGGAGAGAAAGAAATGGAGAGAAACCAAAGGATTATATGTTTTATTCACAGTCACAAAATTGCTATTTATAAATAATCTGCGCGACTGGTAAACTTTTATTTACTTTGGCCCACTGAACACAACAAATAAGCCACTTGTTAAGGTTATTAAGGAATGTGGATCAAGTTTCTCTTTTTTTTTAAATTAAACACACTTTGGATAAAAAATGCAAATTATATAGCATCCTTCCAAGGTACAGACTAGCAACAATATAAGAATAAGAGGAACCCCAGAAACAACTAGAAATTGTATAACAAGTTACACAGCCTATCTCTTTGCTTCTCAATGTATTATCAAAATTAAAAAAAGAAAAAATAGTAAAACAAGAAAAAAACTCACCTAAATCCAAGGATACCAGTATGAGCCATAACATAAGCTAAGCCAAGGATGCCACTTCCCATGATGGCATTCATCAAATTAAACACTGAGAAACCAAATGAAGCACCTCGGGATCTCTGTGTGTGAACTCCCTGTAAGCACATGAATTGATAGAGTTAAGTGTTTGAATGGTGAAGTCCAACTTTGGTCAAGAAATGACTGACAGGTTATGGAGAGTCTCCTAAAACCACAGACATACTGTGACATACTAGTCGCTCAACCAGCAACTAGGACCTCGTCTCCTTTCCTTTCCTTCTCACTTCCCACTAGTGCAGCTCCAGGAATCCAGTTTCCTGGGAAAATCATCTCCACTTGCGCAGAGACCCAGTAGGCTCCAGAAAGCATGACTAACCTTGTAACTGCAAAAGATGAAGATAGGGTAAAATGGGGTGGGGGCAGGGAGCAGGCAGATGGCCTCAAGCTCACGTGATAACTGAAGAATCCCTGAGTCAGCTTGAGGTTGCTTTAGACAACTGTTGCTCCCCAATTACTAGGATTGCAAAACTAATCTCTATTTATACACTTAGTGAATTAAGTCTGCCCAACTGAAAAGATGGGCAGGGAATGCCATGCAATGACGATATTGTAAATAGAAGCAATTCACTTTGCTCTGGGGAGGATACGCCTTGAAAACACTCTCCCCTAAAATAGCATTTGGGAATAAAATCGTAGAAACTGTTACTGCCCTGGGACTTAAGTTAAAGGGCCGAAGTGCCCACTGCACAGGCTTTAGTGTCAGGGAAGTGCTAAGTACTCATTACCAGGCCACCCACGCTCCTTCACGGTTAAGTATATCTGTAGTAAGATGTTTACAGGTCCCCAATGACTAAGCTGAGAAAAGCAAAATCTTGTGACTCTTGCAAAAAGCTCACAAGACTGGTGGAAAAAAACGAGAAGCCGACAAAGATACTGAGAGCAGTGAGTTACATAACCGTGGGGCTGCTCCCCTAGTGGGGTCCCCTGCCTCCACCTGCTGCTGCGTCTCTTCCACCTGAGCCTGCAGCTTCAGCTTTTCTTTCTAGGACAGGTAGGCTCCTATCTCATTGATGAACTCCACCAGATCTCCTCGAAATCTCAGCTGCTGCCTTTGGGCCCCAGGTCCTAAGCTTCTCCCCTCTCCCCTTGCCATCCCCCTTTTTTTCCCGGTCTTATTTGGCAGTCACTTCAGAACGGGGAGCCAGCGGAACAAACTTACGTTGCTAAGCAACGGGCTAGACTCTTCCGCCTCCGCCTCTTCGGGCTCCTGAGTGGAGACAAACCAGCTGGGCTCGGTGTTTATGACCCCCGCTGGGACCTCCATGCTGCTCGCTGGTCGACTACCCAGCCCATCCACTAGCTGCTACCCCTGCCCTCCCGCCTGTAGTCGCGCTGGAGGCGGGCCCACGTTCCCGGCCCTTCCGGGTTCCCGTACCTCACCGGGGCCGGGACGAAAAGAGGGATCGACGTGATCTGGTGACGCTCGCCTCTCGGCGGCGAACCTTGATGATGTCATCGAGGGCCCGCCCACCCGCCGAAGACACGTTTCCGAGCAGCACCGGAGCATGAGGTGAGGGTCTGGTCAGCCAGCTGCGGGGCGACCCCGGGAAATGGGATGGTGACTTTGGTTAAGTGGCGGCCGTGGTGCCCTCGACACGAAAGGGCTGAGGGTCCGGTGGCGGTACCGGTCGGCTGGGCGGCTCTCCGCCTCGCTCTGAAACGTCAGGAAGTCGCCCACCGCCCGGTGCAGGGCCTAGGCCTGAGTACGGGGAAGTGAGGGGTGTTTCATCTCTTCAGAACTTTCCGATAGAACCTTTAGCCACATCTTACTTGTGGAAAGCCGAGATTCACTTTAAGTAATTTACCCAAGATCACACATCTGGTTAACTGCTAAACCCAGTTTGAACCCTGTCAGCTTTTTGACAGTTGCTTGACAGGGTTCCTAGGCAGGGCCCTTTCTTAACAGTTACTTCTTCGGTATTCCGGAAGGCAAAACGAAAAACCGATATTAATGGGATGTGCATGTAACACTCAGCAAAGTTCCCATCCTAGAACTACTGAAACCTCTACTCATAGGTAGGACTTGTGGCAGTAAAACATCAAAGACAACATAGAAATAGATTAAGAACGCAGGCCCTGGATTTTAATCCTTGCTCAACCATTTATAGCACCGAGATTTTGGGTCAATTAACCTATTTCTTAGTTTACACCTTTGCAGAAAAGAGAGTGCAATACCACACACCTCCCAAGACTGTTACTGTGAGTAAAGCGTTCAGCGCAACATCTGACCCAATGAGCTTCCATAAGAATATCCTTTTAAATATTGACATTGGTAAAATTATCAATATAGTGACCATTTCGTTTAGAGATGATCCTTTAACTTATTTTCGGCCTTCCAGTCCCAAAATATTATGTAGAAAATTGTGGGTGGGGAGGTTTGTTCACTAAACCCTAGTCCAGGCCGCAGGTGGACTTGGAAATATACAGATTTATTATTTACTACTAATAAAAGTCATCCTATCCTGGAAAAGTTATTAATATTACACTTCCCACATACCACTAAAAGTTTTAATCTTTGGCATTTAGCAGGTTATTTGAAACAAAATTTTTATTAAGACTTGTGAACATGTTAAGCTAGTTTGTAGCTTTATGGTATTTCTTTTAATTGAATGCTTTATTTTTAGGAGCTTATTGAAACAATTTGGATTCTCAAGAAGACTTCTCAAAGTGGAAAGCTGTAGAATAACTGAGTCAGAATCACTGATTCTACTACCTTGGGCATCGCTGATACAGAAGCTTAGCAACGCACCTGTCATTTTCTTGCTGGATCAAAGAAAAAGATTCTCAACCATGCCTGAAATAGAAACAAATCACAGAGACTCTGAATTGTTTTCCCCACCTTCTGATGTTCGAGGAATGACAGAACTTGATAGAACAGCTTTTAAAAAGATAGTCACCATCCCAGTGCTTAAAGTGAGGAAAGAAATAGTCAATAAACTGATGCGATCCCTTAAAAGGGCAGCACTGCAGCGCCCAGGCATAAAACGTGTGATTGAAGATCCAGAAGATGAAGAAGGTAGACTAATTATGTTGGATCCCTATAAAATGTTTACCGTTGATTCCTTTGAGAAAGAAGAACTCAGTATTTTAAAGCAGCTGAATGTCAATCCACGGATATCGAAATATAACCTGGAACTAACTTATGAAAACTTTAAGTCAGAAGAAATCTTGAGAGCTGTGCTTCCTGAAGGTCAAGATGTGACCTCAGGGTTTAGCAGAGTTGGACACATTGCTCACCTGAACCTTCGAGATCATCAACTACCTTACAAGCATTTAATTGGTAGGTGTGTCTTAGTAATAGTCACATATTAGAAACCAATTAGCAAGTTCTAATTTTAGTTTAAAAACATTTAAATGCCTAGTTGTAGAAATGGGACATTTTATCATTTTAATTTTAAGCAGGATTTTGAGCTACATACTCTCCTTTGAGGGCCACTTTGGAATAGCCTTCCCAGAGTCGTTTGTTGTTGCTGTTGCTAAGTCGTGTTCGACTCTTAGAGACACTATTGACTGTAGCCCACCAGGCTTCCCAGTCCATGGGATTTCCCAGGCAAAAGTACTAGAATGGATTGCCATTTCCTTAATCAGGGGATCTTCTTGACCCAGGGGTCAAACCCACATTTCCTGCCCTGGCAGGTGAACTCTTTACCACTGAGCCACCAGGGAAGCCCTCCCAGAGTCATAGCAAGCTCTAAATATCAGTTCAAGCTTTTGTGTTTACAGTTCGTAAGCATTAACTTCAATCACTTGCTTTGGCAGAATTCTTTGGCAACTTATCATTTTGGTATCCAAAACTTATTAGTCCTTCAGGACTATGTTGAAGGCTAGGTTTCATAAATTTGAGTGTTTCATAGTCAAAAGGGCAAGACAGTGTTTACTGATGCTTTCATTGATTCAGTTAATTCAGTTAATTCAGTTAATCTTCTGTATGGTAGGAACCATACTTTGTTTTTTAGTACTCCTAGCTTTTTAGACACCCCACTCCAGTACTCTTGCCTGGAAACTCCCATGGACAGAGGAGCCTGGTAGGCTGCAGTCCATGGGGTCGCTAAGAGTCGGACAGACTGAGCGACTTTACTTTCACTTTTCACTTTCATGATTCTTGCCTGGAGAATCCCATGGACAGAGGAGCCTGGTAGGCTGCAGTCCATGGGGTCGCTAAGAGTCGGACAGACTGAGCGACTTTACTTTCACTTTTCACTTTCATGAGAAAGAAATGGCAACCCACTCCAGCATTCTTGCCTGGAGAATCCCAGGGACGGGGGAGCCTGGTGGGCTGCCGTCTGTGGGGTCACACAGAGTCGGACACGACTGAAGGGACTTAGCAGTAGCAGCAGCTTTTTAGAAACAACTCTGTAGCCCAGAGTTGAAGCATGAGTCTTTTATTCTTTGGAGTAAGAAAGAAGTAGAAGGCTAATCAAAATCGTTCTTGTCCTTATATAAATATTTAATGTCATGCATTCTCCAGAGTAACATTTTTAATACAGAGTAATTGTCAGAACTTCTGGGAATTATTTTCAGCTTTAAAATGTAGTGCTCAGTGTTTTGCATGGGTAGAATTTCAGAGATGTGCTGTTATGCATTTACTTTGTTTATATTGATGAAAGGGGCTAATAATGCATAGTGATAACATAATAAATACTTAAGCAGAGCCTTATAATTATGATCTGGTACAAATGTCAAGTCTAGACTTCCCGTTGAATCACTGACTGTCCTAACTCAACATTGTTTTAACACTCTTATTTTATAAACTCGCTGTCATAAAAGGGCACTCACAGATTGAAAATGAAACATTTTCATACAGAAGTAATTTTAAAGCTTTTACTATAGACCTTTAGAATGTTTTTTTTAATTCTTCATTTCAAACTAACTTCTGTACCTTAAAAATTGAGTTCTGATACCTGAAGCAGAACAAGATAAAATAATGATTGACAATAGTTTGACATTATCATATTCAAAATCAGGTATCTAATTATCAGAGAGAAATTAGACAAATTCCAGTTGGTATTAAGCATATTTGTATTATCAGTTCAGTCACTCAGTTGTGTCCAACTCTTTGCAACCCGATGGACTGCAGCCCACCAGGCTTCCCTGTCCATCACCAACTCCTGGAGCTTGCTCAAACTCATTTCCATCTAGTCGGTGATGCCATCCAACCATCTCACCCTCTGTCGTCCTCTGTTGTATTTGTATTATGGAGTACTTTATACTTACTTACAAATCAACTTATCTTTCTTTATACAATGAGATAGCATATAGATTCTTGTAAATTTTTTGAAGTGCTGACAAAAATGCAGACTTTGATTATAGGGCATCAACATACCATTGCCAATGTCTTTTACCTTTGTAGCTTTTTGTGCTCTGGAAAATATTTGACATAAAGAACAATTTAAGTCAAACATTTTATTTAGAGAAAACTAAAGAATCAATGTTTCTTTTATTTGAAAACATTATTTTGCTGGTATGCATTTCCAACGTGGAAGTATCTATTTTAAATACACAACAAAGCAAACATTTGGTTTGAGGCCAGTGGGGACAGGCTAGTGTTTTCTGAGACCATTTGTTTGCATAGTCCTTAATTTTTCTTCTATTTTTTAACCAATTCCCTGGGTCTACCTGTTTGCTTACTGTTGCATTGATACATTTGAGAAGACTAAGTAAAAGACATGGAAAAATATTAGGCAGGACAAGTTCCTCAAAATTTTTTCCTTATAAATGTACCCACACATTTTTTGTGTGTTTGCATAGGGGCTGTCAGAAATTAACTTTAGTAATTTGTTGGATTTTTAGAATTGCATTCCTCTACACACATCAGCTTCCCAGGTGGTGCTAGTGGTAAAGAACCCATCTGTCAATGCAGAAGACATAAGAGACCTGGGTTCTATCCCTAGGTCGGAAAAGATCCCCTGGAGGAGGGCATGGCAACGTACTCCAGCATTCTTGCCTGGAGAATCCCATGGACAGAGGAGCCTGGCGGGCTACATTCCATACGGTTGCAAGAGTCAGACACGACTGAAGCCACTTAGCATGCGTGCACACACAGTAGATGTGGTTTTTGTCTATAAACCAGAAGAAAATATAGTTCACATCCATTTCATATTTTCAATTTTAGCTTTTATTTTGCAACCAGAAGGCAGTATTTATCATGATTTCTGTGCTTTTAGGCCAAGTTATGATTGACAAAAATCCAGGAATCACCTCAGCAGTAAATAAAATCAATAATATTGATAATACCTACCGAAATTTCCAAATGGAAGTACTGTCTGGAGAGGAGAATATGATGACCAAGGTATGGACTATTTTATTGTCTCCTAATACAGTGTGTATCAAGATTAACATTTGAAATCAGGATAACAGATTAAGAAAATATAATACCCAGTATTGATGAGCATGTGAGAATGTAAGCATTTACATATATTATTGATGGGAGAGCAAATTTGATACAGTCCGGAAGAGTGTATGGTAATATATTGCAATTTTGAATAGATACATCCTTTGACCTAGCACTCCATTTATAGGAAATTATCTCAAGAATATAACTGGACAAAATTGTAATGATGTACCCAACCAGGGATTGAACCCATGTCCTCCCCGCAGTGGAAGTATGGAATTTTAACCACTAGACCACCTACATCATTTTTATAATAATAAATAAATAAACATGGAATGGAAACAATCTAAATATCAGTAGATAACTGATTAAATTTTAGGATAATAATACAATGGAATACTCCATCATTGAAGATTATTTAGCTCCATCAGTTCAGTTCAGTTGCTCAGTCATGTCCGACTCTTTGTGACCGCATGGACTGCAGTACACCAGGCCTCCCTGTCCATCACCAACTCCTGGAGCTTACTCAAACTCATGTCCATTGAGTCGGTGATGCCATCCAACCATCTCATCCTCTGTTGTCCCCTTCTCCTACTGCCTTCAATCATTTCCAGCATCAGGGTCTTTTCAAATGAGTCCGTTCTGGCTCTAGTCACATCTGGCTCTAGTGATCACACCATCATGGTTATTTGGGTCATGAAGATCTTTTTTGTATTCTTGCCACCTCTTAATATCTTCTGTTTCTGTTAGGTCCATACCACTTCTGTCCTTTATTGTGCCCATCTTTGCATGGAATATTCCCTTGGTATCTCTAATTTTCTTGATGAGATCTCTAGTCTTTCCCATTCTATTGTTTTCCTCTATTTCTTTGCACTGATCACTGAGGAAGGCTTTCTTACCTCTCCTTGCTCTTCTTTGGAACTCTGCGTTCAAATGGGGATATCTTTCCTTTTCTCCTTTGCCTTTCGCTTCTCTTCTTTTCACAGCTATTTGTAAGGCCTCCTCAGACACCCATTTTGCCTTTTTGCATTCCTTTTTCCTGGGGATGGTCTTGATCACTGCCTCCTGTACAATGTCACGGACCTCTGTCCATTGTTCTTTAGGTACTCTATCTATCAGATCTAATCCCTTTAATCTATTTGTCACTTCCAATGTATAATTATAAGGGATTTGATTTAGGTCATACCTGAATGGTCTGGTGGTTTTCCCTATTTTCTTCAATGTAAGTCTGAATTTGGCAATAAGGAGTTCATGATCTGAGCCACAGTTAGCTCCTGGTCTTGTTTTTGCTGACTGTATAGAGCTTCTCCATCTTTGGCTGCAAAGAATATAATCAATCTGATTTCGGTATTGACCATCTAATGATGTCCATGTGTAGAGTCTTCTCTTGTGTTGTTGGAAGTGGGTGTTTGCTATGACCAGTGCATTCTTTTGGCAGAACTCTATTAGCCTTTGTCCTGCTTCATTCTGTACTCCAAGGCCAAATTTGTCTCTTACTCCAGGTGTTTCTTGACTTCCTACTTTTGCATTCCAGTCCCCTATAATGGAAAGGATATCTCTTTTGGGTGTTAGTTCTAGAAGGTCTTGTAGGTCTTCATAGAACCATTCAACTTCAACTTGTTCAGCATTACTGGTCAGGGCATAGACTTGGATTACCATGATATTATAATGGTTTGCCTTGGAAATAAACAGAGATCATTCTGTTGTTTTTGAGACTATATCCAAATACTGCATTTCAGGCTTTTGTTGACTATGATGGCTACTCCATTTATTCTAAGGGATTCTTGCCCACAGTAGTAGATATAACAGTCATCTGAGTTAAATTCACCCATTCCAGTCCATTCTAGTTTGCTGGTTCCTAAAATGTTGACATTCACTCTTGCCATCTCCTGTTTGACCACTTCCAATTTGTCTTGATTCATGAACCTAACATCAAGGTTCCTATGCAGTACTGCTCCATACTGAAAGTAAACTGTCCACTGACAAGCCAAGTGACAAAAAATAAACTGTAGAACAGTATACATAATTGAGTTCCATTTTAACTATGATGATTTTAAATATGTAAATATGCATATACATCAGAACGTTAACAGTGAGCATGTTTTCATTTGGTATAGTTTCTGGTGACCTTTGTTATCTTTATACCTTTCTACTGAGCACATATTTCTTCTATAAGAAAAACAAAACCTATTTCAAAGAAAAAATAACCTAAAATATATAGGAATAGATTCCTGGTATAAATCATTTCTCATCTTCCACCCCCCAAACCCTCTGTAGTGTTGGATGTAATAAACTGTTTTTAAGCTAAAGCCTTAGATAATTACATGTTAACATTATGTGAAATGTTGTACCCAAGCTAAGAAACAGCTTAAACAAATCCTGAGAGACCCACAAAATAATGGTTGTTATTATTAATTCTCTTTACACACATGAAGTAAGAAGGAATGACTGAGCAGAGGGTTTTTGAGTCAGGTTCTGACTCCAGAGTCCATGCTTAGTCTTGCCCTGTATACCAAACCTCCACTACCTACTGCTTGTGTACAATGAATGAGGTCAATTTTGGCAAGCAAGATTTGGATGTGACTCCTTTGATAATAACTGTGCTTAACTAATCAGCTGACACTAAGAACATACTAAACTTTAGGCACACCCAAACTGAACATTGTGCATGTTCTTTACTTGGTAGTGACCCTCAGAGTGTCAGGAAGCATCATTCTTCTTAGAAAGAAGATGTAAACTTCTGTAAACTGAGAAACTTCTGTAATTTTATAAATGCCTTGTGATTGACTTCCCAAGTCAACTAAAATTTGTTCTTAGGACATACTTTATGCCTAGTATATATACTCTCAAATAAATGTGAAAACTCAGTATAATTTCTTTGCTTCAAACATAGTCACATTTAAATTTAAGAGCTCATGCAACATGTAAGTAGTATTTAAAAACATTGCTAAAGTGGATCTCCTGAAAGCAATGCTTAACTAAGGGAACGAGATATCAAAGATAGCATGAGTAAAACCAAAGGGATACTTAGCATCATTTAATCTAGATCTAGATCTGTGACTCACACTAAAGGGCTTAAAAGACAAGTAGAAAGGAAATTTCAGGAAAAGCATCCCAAGACACATTTAAGCCATCCAGGTTATATACCTAGATTGATTCTTAGTTGGCAGAATCATGAAGAAATATTTCAAACTCTTGAAACTTAATAATATGATCAAAGCATTTGATGTGGTCAGGAGGAAAAAATATGTACAAATTTGGAATTAAGGTCCATGAAGAGAGAATACAGAAGATCTCTCTATTAGATTTATAGAACTTAGGAACTTTCTGGCCATTGATTCTTCATCTGTTAAAATAAGGGACTTAAGATGATAGGTGAGGTCACATTTCACAATTGTAGTTTTAATTTTGTTTTCTATTTTCTATCATGTTTATGATAGTCCCCAAAGAAATGCTATAAAGTTTTAATTTTGTTCAAGACTTAGCTTCACTGTATATATTTAGTTTATCCATGAAAACTCAGATTTGGGAAAGGCAAAAACAGGGGAATGATTTATTCTATACACTGGCTCTATTTATAGACATGAAACCTACAAAGTCCAAGTAACTGTCTAAAAACATAACGAAGTACCTTGAAATTCACTGACACATGATGCATCTATCTTGCCAAACTGAAAACTAAGGAAGGAAAGCATGTTTGCTGTGTGGAAGAGCTGTCTGCAATTTAGCTACCCACCATGAAGACAGATGTAGTGTGTTGTTTCACCCTAAAGGCTTTTTCCTATCAGGTGACAGGAGATAATATAATTAAGCCAGTCAATTGGCCTATCTGAAAAATTCCTAGTGTGATCTGGGAGCCATTTTATGGTCCATTAGGATGAGATGGAGAGCTGTTTGGGTTTTGAAGAGATGACTTTTCTCATGAAAACGTCTAATGCAAGATAGTAACTACCCTCAAGTTTAGCATAAACACCAGACTTCTAATTTAAATGCCTTTAAACGCACTGTAATTTGCTCTTAATAGTAGTAAATTTAAATGTGTGTATGTGTGAATGCATCTATCCAATATCAGTAGCTGGAATTTAAGCAGTTTAACCAAAAGCATAATACTTTTTTCAGGTTCGAGAAAACAATTACACCTATGAATTTGATTTTTCAAAAGTCTATTGGAATCCTCGTCTCTCCACAGAACACAGCCGCATCACAGAACTTCTCAAACCTGGGGATGTCCTATTTGATGTTTTTGCTGGGGTTGGGCCCTTTGCCATTCCAGCAGCGAAGAAAAACTGCACTGTGTTTGCTAATGATCTCAATCCTGAATCCCATAAATGGCTACTGCACAACTGTAAATTAAATAAAGTGGACCAAAAAGTAAAAGTCTTTAACTTGGATGGGAAAGACTTCCTGCAAGGACCAGTCAGAGAAGAGTTAATGCAGCAGCTGGGACCACTGTCAAAAGAAAGAAAACACTCTGTGCACATTGTCATGAATTTGCCAGCAAAGGCTATTGAGTTTATCAGCGCTTTCAAAGCACTCTTAGATGGTCAGCCATGTGGCAGTGAACTCCTTCCCATCGTGCACTGTTACAGCTTTTCCAAAGATGCTAATCCAGCTAAGGATGTTCAGCAACGAGCTGGAACTGTGTTAGGCATCTCCTTGGAGGCAAGTAGTTCAGTTCACCTAGTAAGAAATGTGGCCCCTAACAAGGAAATGTTATGCATCACTTTTCGGATTCCTGCTGCTGTACTTTACAAGAATCAGGCCGTAAATCGAGGTGAGTGATTTCTGGGAAATTAAATGTAAGCTGTAATACTTTTAAGATAACTTTCCTGGGCAACATATATATTTTATATTCTTTTTTAAACTTAGAAATAAACTAATTCTAGTTAGATATTTCAGTTCAAGACCCCTCGCCATTCAACTGTGACTAATTTCTCACAATTTTACAGATTTTATTATGACACTGTTCAGTCTAGTAGAAGGCTATTTCGTCAAAATAATAAATCCACAAGAATGTTACTATTTCATGCATAAGTTGAGTACATTAAAAATCTTTAAAATGCCTATGTTATTTGCTTTTTAAAAGTTATTTTTAAATGTTAAGTATCTTATGTAATATAGGTTTTCTGGATTTGTTACAGACAATCATGAAGATCCACCTCTTAAACGCCAGAGGACAGATAAAGACCTTTAAGAAGAAAATACACAAATTGCTCCAGTCACTTAATTGGAAATATTTTCTCCATCTCCCCACTAGACCTTTGTGATAGTGAACTATCATTTGTATGATTTCTAATATTTTAGCATTCAGTTACTTTAGTATTGAACTCTTTTATTTTACCCTTGCTGGCTTCCCTGGTGGCTCAGAGGTAAAGAATCTGCCTGCAGTGCAGGAGACCTAGGTTCGATCCCTGCATCTGGAAGATCCCCTGGAGAAGGGAATGGCAACACACTCCAGTATTCTTGCCTGGAGAATCCCATGGGCAGAGGTGCCTGGCGGGCTATATAGTCCATGGGGTCACAAAGAGTCAGACATGACTGAGCAACTAACACAGTCCTATAAATTGGGAATTATCAAATTAAAATTTAAATAAGCCTACTAAATATATTTTGTTTTATAATTTTATCATCATATATATCTAATCTTTTATTAGATAAATATGTTAAAATAAGATCTTGGGAAAGTAGTTTTTGAAAGTATGATAACTGCATGCTAACTAGGAAAGCACTAATCATTTTACAGTTATCCTTAGTTGAAGAGTATAGCTAAGTTATATGTAAGTACTCCTATACTATTACTATTAATATAGAAGTATTAATAATAACAAATGAGATTATTTAGATCAGAGACAGGCAAACTATATCCAGCAGGCCAAATCTTGTCCACCACCTGTTGTATGGCAAGTAAGCTGAGAATGGTTTTTACACTTTCAAATGATTGGGAAAAAAAAAATTTGTGACATGAAAATTATATGAAATTTAAATTTCAGTGTCCATAAATAAAGTTTTATTGGAACTTGTTTTTTATGCTCATTTGTTTACATACTGGCTATGGCTGCCCTCTTGGAATAACACCAGAGCTGAGTAGTTAGCTGCAACACAGATGGGATATGATTTTCATCACTTCACATTGCTGCTCAGCACACTACAAATCAGTGACACGGTTATAACGCAACAGCATTTTAAGTGCAACATATATTGCGCCAAGCTGTAACATTTTATTTTACTATTATGAGTGTATATCTATCATTCCAAAACAAGAAAAGTGGACATCCATGTTGAGCTTTTAAAGTAGAGTATGAACATTTTTGATACTGAATTAGACGATAAGGCATCCATAACTGAGCTAAAGTAAAATATACTTTGACATTTCCAAAAGAACTACTCATCACAGTATTTCCAAGTCACAGGCAAGCAACTGTCAGAACAATTACAGATTTAAACTGGAAATTCACAGTAGAATTTCCTTATAAAATAAAAAATGAAAGTGGGGCTACAACCAAAGTATGTCTCCAAGTGACTTTTGTTAAGTCAAGAAAGAAAAATTGTTTACTGATAGAGAGTTAATTGTGTTTGTTTGAAAGCAGCAGTCTTAAGAAATGTGTCCAGAGAAAGGAAGTTTTGTTTAGGACTGTTAGCCTTTTGGCAAGAACAGTTGCTCAAAGAGTTGTGAACACTGGGAGTACCATCAATAGTCAAAACGGTAAATGAGTCCAAGTAGTTGTTTACTCTTGATGAGTTGATAGATGTTTCTAATACAGCTCAGTTCTTGCTTATTTGAGGTGTCAATTCTGAGTTTGAAGTTACTGAAGAATTAGCCTCTGTGAATCCTCTGCATGGAACTATTGGTGAATACTTTGAAAGAAGCTAAGGAAACGAATTTGGTAAAACCTGAAGCAGAATCTGATCTTTTGTAACTAATGATGGTAAAAGAAAGTGTGAGGTAAAAAAAGATCTAGTGGAGAAACTTAAAAGCTTATGAAAATGTAACGTGTTTAAAACCTATAGTTATTCACTATATTATTCACCGGCAAGTACCTTGCAGCAAATATGTGACTCTATCATTTGTTAATGAACCAGTAATGTCAATGATAAACTTCATTTGCTTTCATGGACTTTAATCATCCTCAAAGTCCTTCAATTCTGTCTGAAATTGAAGCCAAATTCCTGACACTCTTAACCTAAGTTTGATTTGCTTAGCAACTGTAAAGTTTGACTGCAATTTTTTGGGTTCATGGCCAAGATTGAAATTTTTCTTAAGAACCAACCTTAAACACTTCTAAAATACTGAATGTCTTTGGAAGTTAGTTGCTAAAGGCTTGGTAAATATTTCTCAAATATTTCAACCACAATTATAGGACAAAAGTAACTAATGTGAAACATACTGCAATAATATGAAATGACTACATTTCTCATCTATCAAAAATTAAGGAACAAAGTTTCCATTCTCACATATGTTAGTGGATGTATTTTTTCTGAGTTTAGCATTTTTGGAACCTTGGTGTAAATGTAAAGAAATTTCCATGTTTCAGAACCCATTTAACTACAACTGAACTTTCATCTGATCTTCAATTGGAAGTGACAAATGTCTTACTGTAATGACATGTGAAAAGGTAAATACCAAGGGGGGATTAAGAAAAGCCTTCTAAGTGATGTATATGCTCAGTTAAAATCACATGTTCCAATATCTGGCAGTATCTATCTGAAAAGACTTTTTTAAAGGTGAAATATATAAAATCTCATTACATACAACCATTAGCAGGTGACCAATTACAATTCATTTTGATGATGGAACACTTAGAACCCCATGTAAATCTAATTCCCTCCCCCCAAAAGCACTATTAAAAATTTGTTGCTGCTGTTTAGTCATTAAGTTGTGTCTGACTCTTTTTGACCTCATGGACTGTAGCCCGCCAAGCTTCTCTGTCCATGGAATTCCCCAGGCAAGAATACTGGAGTTAACTGCTGTTTCCTTCTCCAGGGGCTCTTCCAGACCCAGGGACTGAACCCAAGTCTCCTGCTTGGCAGGCATCTCCTGCTTGGAAGGCAGATTCTTTACCACTGAGCCACCTGGGAAGCCCACAAAAAATGTACTCAATTATATTTTGAATTTTGTTAATTTAAAAAATTGTGCCAATTTATTTTATCTCATTTATCTACATAATGGCCTCAGTTTTGCCTCTTAGCCCAAAAAGCAGTTAACTCCAGTATTCTGGGCACAGCAACCCATTCCAGTATTCTTCCCTGGAAAATTCCATGGACAGAGGAGCCTGGTAGGCTATAGTCCAGGGGGTCACAAAGAGTTGGACATGACTGAGCACTCATGCACGAGCTATAAGGTCTCTGTTGCTTCTCAACTCTGCCATAGTAGACAAAAGGCAGCTGGAGACAATACTCAAACACTGTGTTTCAAAAAAACCATTTATGAAAGTTTGACATTTTAAATTCATATGCTTTTCATATGTTAAAAAGTATATTGTTCCTTTGGTTTTTTCCAGCCTTAAAAATATACAGACACCAAGTTTAGCTCATGGAGCATACAGAAACAGGAAGCAGCTGGATTCAGCCAAGGTTCTACAGTTGGCCTCCCGGTCTAAGTGTAGATAATAAATTTGCAAGTGGAATAAGAACTTTTTCCTAGTAATGTACATTCACGTGCTAGGCTATAAATACTAAGTGTGAGTCAAATGATGTTCTTATTCATACATGTAAAGTGGTAAGATACATTCAGTCACCCCTTTTGGATGTGATAATTAGTAACTGAATTCTTGGTTAATCTACTAGAAAATGATGGCCAGAACACTCAGTAGATAGAATTTTTAACTTTGTTAATTTTTTTGACAAGTTTTCTGCCACTTTAGATTTTGAAATGATTATCCAAGTCACCTGTTGACAGCCTAAAGTGAGAAGCTTAGATCAAATATTTATTGAAAGAAAGCAGGGAATACTAAACAATAATACAATTACTATGTAAATGTATTCAATACCATTAGTATCTGCTTAAAAGAGAGTGCAGTTAGTAGTCCATTCATGTTCTCTCTAATGAATTCCTTAGAACTTCTATTCAAGATATCAACATGGTTATTAAGTTGATATCTCTTATATCCCATATAAGAACTTGATCTGTAAATTTTCCTTAATTTTACAGATTTTAATTTTAAAATTTCCTTAAAGTCTTTAAGAAGTTTGTCTACTCAGACTTGGTTTTACACAGCTGTTGTTTGTAAGTCTGACAGTCATCCCTAGGACATGGACTCTGCAGTTTAACCACTTGGGTTCAAACCCAAACTCTGCTCCTTTTAAGATGTACTGACCTTTAGTAGGTTACTTAACCAAAGCATCCCCATTTGTGAAAATGGGGAAATAATGCTAGCACTGTTACAAGGATTATTCACAAAGCATGAGGCACAGTGCTTCACAGATATGTTCAGTAGTTGTTTCTGTGCTAGTGTTGTAAAACTTAGGAAATTCATGTAGATGAAAGACTTGTTCGCACTTTTGTCTTGGGAGAGTAAATCACTAAGATAGAGGATAATTTCATCAACATAGAATACTGTTATTTAGTAAATTGTTGCCATTAGGTTATCTTTCACCATTCCCTTTGATCTAATAGGGTCAGTTAACAATGTTTAAATTTGGCCTGTTGAACAAAGTATGGCAATAGTAAGGGTAAAATAATTACAACATATCCAGGTGGTAGAATTTAACTGATTTCCCAAATCAGGTGCAGGTAATTTCCACAATAATAAACTTTCAGAAAAAAAGTTTTGAAAGCCTTTGAAATATTTTGCTAATAATTAATTCATTCTATTTAAATACGTCATACAAGGTACTGAAAAGAAATAATTGTATTTCTTTTTTAAAGACTGGATACCTTACTTTGGCAGCTGAGTACAGAAAATCCTTAACCACAAGTCCAATGTTCTCACTATTCTTTGAACAGATTTATGTGTTGTACTTAAAAGTTCTAATCCTCTATTGGGAAAAAGACTAATACTGGGGTGGCCAAAAAGTTCGTTCAGGTTTTTCTGCAAGATTGTACAGGAAAACTCGAATGAACTTTTTGGCCAATAGATATGAAAACTAGGATGCAACCTAGTAGAGTATAGATAGAACAAGAGTTGGATTTTTTAAAAACCCACTTGTGTTCTAATTCTGGCTTGTGTGTATGATTTTAGCCTACTTAATTATTTGATGCTTTGATTTTCTCAATTATCAAAGACAGAAGGGTTGTGAAGAAGAACACACACTCCTGAAATTAATGCCTACTTAGTCAAATAAGATGGTGCTGTTACATATGAATATTCTACTCTGATGTAACCCACAAATCTTGTTTCACATAACTTTCCACTCATAAAACTAACATCTGTTGTAATGGAGATTTGATAGAAAATCCCTTAATTTCTTTGAGAAACGATATCCCATACCCAGTCTTCTAGGTAACAGACTCATACAAGGTTGAGATGCTACAAATATCCATTTTATCCACATCCAAACTCTGTAAGCAACATTCTGGGTGTACTCAAAGCCTTTGAAGTTTCAAAAGAAACTACACCGGGGTCTGCAATTTACTCATAGAGAAATTTCATTTAAAATATATTCATTCCAGTCTCCAAGGTTTCATCATAAAATGAGCTCACACTGAGGTGAAAGGTGCCTTTTAAGTATTAAATTTTATTAACTTACTTCTTTGAATTTGTCATTAAAGCAGGTTAATACTCTGCTCTGGTTTATCCTAAGTGAGGCTCACAGCTGGGAACTATAACACACTGATCAAGGTTTGTCTCACTTTTCACTGCTCAAAACAGGCACTTAGTCCTTAATATTGAAAGAGTGACATTATCACAGGTCAGGTTTTACTTGCCACAACCTGCTGGTAGAAGGAAATATATCCACTTGTCTGGACTAGTATTAAGAAGACATTGGGAAAAAAAAATGGAACATTTTATGAGAAGAAATAATAGTCTTGGATATTAACACTAAATGTCGTATTCAAAATGGCATTTTTAAATGTGTTCA